CTTTGTCCATGGCAGCGGCTCTCGGCAGCGACTGTAAGTTCCGGCGGAGCTAGCACAAGTGGCCTTGCCCCATCGCCGAGTGTTGGCTCCGCCCTTACCTGTGTCTGCCTTTCAAATTTCTTCGAAGCAACCACCGACGGCGATTGTAAATTTCAACGGATCCAACATACACGATCGCGCGGGTGCTGGATCCGCCACTGGCTATACATGCTGCAATAACATCTTCACTCGAACATCCTTCATTCACATTCAAAATGAAGGAAAACATGACTCCAACATGGGTGGTGGTAAACTCTTGAGCTTTGTGTTACTTTTTAAATTTTAGTAGTGAATTTTTTTGTTTTCTTGACTTTGTCTAAGATTAAGTTTACCCTTTTTCTTAATCTTTTTACGTATAGCCTTCATAGGACATTAACATGGTGCAACTTCCCTTGTTTCTGAAATACGTACCAGCTGCATTTGCTAGGGAGTATTTGCCAAGATATCTAGATCTTGTTCGTGTGAATATAAGAGAGAGATTGAGTGGTGCATGTTTTATCCACACTTCCACAGGATGGGCAGCATTAATGTAGAAATATAAGGTGGACCCTCTCTCCATTGAAAGAAATGAGATTATCACGGATACAACACATAAAAAAATTACCCAAATTTGCCCGACGTAGAGGCAATCAAGAAAGCTGCATAAGTGAATATATAACCTACAGTCAAAAGTGGGCTAATCCAACCAATCTTGCATGGACAAAGCCACATAAATTGAGGTTGGAGATACATCTGTGTTTGAACTGGTCCAAGCCAATCAACCTGCGCTAGAGNTTTTTAACTTCATAAATGGGCTTCAAAATTTATTTAGAATTCTAAGGCCCATGGAGAAGTAATAGATGTCATGCTCATTTTAGATATGCACTTCTCTCCAAAGGTTTCATAAACTTCCAATGTGGGATTGTGCCTTTTATACATTCTCTTAACTCTAATAGTTTTATAAACTTCCAATGTAGGCTAGTGATATATAACCAAAAAATGTTAAAATACTCATCAAAATCATTTTCAAATGTATGTTTGGCTAATTTGATTTTTAATAACAACTAATTAAATTGCAATATTCACCTTCATTCTTTCATTTATTTAATTTTCAAATTTAACTTAAATCGCATTTGATTATTAATATATTAATGTTATATATCATTTTCTATAAGTTTAAACTATTTTAATTTAACAAAGAAAACTATTTTAACATATTGATTTTTAATTTGTAGTATTGAGACTAATTGTAGGATAATGAATCTAATTAGTAAAAATATATTTACTTTGAATTATTAATATGAAAATTTTAAAAACCTATATATATTATTTTATTATTTTTGTATCTATTTATTGCATCCGATTCAACCTCGGTTGAACCTTTTGACCCTTTACCTTTTCTGGGTCGATGACCGGGTCTGTTTTCAAAACACTAGAAAAACCTTAATGGAGAAGCTCTTCCCCCCTTTTCATGGCCGACGCCCCCAAGAAACCGTAGTGGCCGAAGGTTGGGGGCGGTGTGCTTGCCCATCATCTTAGTTGGATTAATCATGGGTGCAATAATCATCTTTTTCTCTCACACAAGTAATATATGGAGACATCCAATTTAATCCATTCAAATCCAGCAATCAATTCATGAGAAATGTTGGACTTACAGGCTACTGTTTCACAAAAGCCTTACAGAAAATAAAAAAATCGACCGGTTCGGGAGAAAAAAGATAGAAGCCGTTTCAAAATAGGGCAAAGAGGAAGGAAAGAACCTATTTCTCCCATTTCTCACTTGCAGTTCCCGCCCACCTCAGATTCCTCCATCTCGAGCACAATGTAATAGGTGAGCTTACTGAGAACGAAGATTACACCTCTCGATCCCACATACCCTCTGTACACTATAGTTCTATGGCAAGCTGTACCTACTTCATATGTGTATTTGGAGGTGGAAAACTCAGAGAGAGGTACTTCCTCAATGTAAGTCAGGTGAAATGAATAATGATTGTGACTTTTTTGACATGTAGACACAAATATAAGAATACGAAGCTAACTGAAGTTTGCTTGATAGATTTTTTTTTTTGTTTTTTAAAAAAGGAGGGCAGTACCTCCGATATTTTATTAATATATCCTCACTTGTAGAGAAGGAATACCGTGGTTACAAATGAAATGGAGAACATCAATAAATGAGGAAGTACTACTTCCCTTACAATGAAGGTAAAGAGTAATATGATGCAATAAAAAATGAGTACCACATCCCTAACAAAAAGCATAATTGTAGGCAAAAATAAAAGTAAAAGAAAAATTCAAATACTTAAACTCTAAAGCTGGGCAAACCATATCTGTCAATCTGAACAAGTGCCCAAATATGTCGTGGTAGGTCCGCTGGTCCATATTCCTAATATCTACGATGATGCCAACCCTCGGAAGCAAGAACATCTGCAACTTGGTTCCCCTCTCTGAAGATGTGGGAAACCATATCTGTGTCAAAGGAAACAATATCTGTAATTAGTCTTAGCATCCCCTGGATATGCCACGGTCCGCTGCCTCTGGTGATGCAGTGAATGGCCAGAGTTTAATCTGACTCAACCCAAATATCTGACAAACCAAGATCTCTAACCAGTAGTAACCCATCACGAATAGCCCTAAGTTCCGCCTCTAGTATCATACACTGTCCATATAAAGCTGAGAAGGCCCTGATACAGTTTCCTATGTGATCCCTTATGATACCTCCCCCACTTGCAAGCACATTCTTGACACAACCATCAGTGTTGATCTTGACAGATCCAACTGATGGAAAGCGCCACCAAACCATAGTAGGGAGAGGAGATGGAGGCAGAGTTAAAGAAATACCAAAAAGTGGAGCAAGCTGCATATCGTCACGCCAATGTAGTGGCCGAAATAATCCCCCAATATGGAGGAATGATATCATACGATATACTCTCCAAATGATCTGTCTCGAGCTCATACTTATGTCCCTGTGTTTTGCATCATTTCTCTCGGTCCAAATAAACCAGAAAATCAATAGAGGAATAATAATGCGAATATACCCAATCCTTGCAAACTGTCCAGAATAACTCCACCTCAGAAATCTCTGTCTGACACTCTCTCCGGCACTCATGGTAATCTGAAATAAAGCCCCAAAAAGTTGCCAAACATGATCTGAAATACTGCTACCAGTAAAAAGATGAGTAATGGTCTCAATCTCTAAACAACACCGACATCGAGAAGCCAGCTGACTACCTATCCTCCTCTGGATAATGACATCAACAGGTAATAAATCCTACCATAATCTCCAACAGAAGAACGAAACGGTAGGAGGTATGATAGGGCTCCACAGTAGGCGAAATAAATCTTGCACTGGTCTACTAGAGCGGATCAGCTGCCATGCTGATTTAGTGGTAAATCTACCATCTGATGTGGCCCTCCAGAAAATGCGATCCGAGATATCAATACATAGTGGAATGACCGTAATCTGCTCTGCCTTAGCTGATGGAAGGGCCTGTAACAATCGCCCAAAATCCCATCCAGTATCATTGAAAAAGTCATGCACTCTCGCAGATGTGTGCTATCTGTGTGCGAAACTGGATGCCAATGTAGAGTCACCCATCCAACAATCATGCCAAAAGAAGATCTGTCCTATCCCAAAGCGCTACGCAATGTGTGTCTCAGCACATGGTCCAAATCTCTTCAGTCTCTTCCAAACAGGAGATGCCTCGTGAGGAACTACTGCAAGCGACAGATGTGTCCCTCTACAATATTTGCCCAGTAGAAACTGAGCCCAAAGAGAGCTTTGAGACCTGAACAACCACCATAGCTTCAATGAAAATATGTCCACCGTATCCTATAATCGTCTAAAACCCAGGCCTCCCTCGTCAACAGAAAGGCAAATCGCCTTCCAACTCCGCCAATGTAGACGACGCGCATGATCCTTAGAATCCCATAAGAATCNGATCATGCTATAGATTCTATTAATACTTTTTTTTTTATTATATCACAATGTGTAATTATTTATCAATTACATAAACATTACATCATTAATTATTTAATTAACCAAAAAAATTACATCTTTATTAATAAAAAATTAATTCTTAAACAAAACTATCAAATATTGATGCTACCAAAAATCGTACCCGGCTGCTTCCGATCTTGACGACTATTGATGGGCACGAACGTGATCTTCCGGTACCTGAAACAAAGGCGGTGAGGTATGCCCTCGTCGCCCCTCCAATGCTTAAGTGAGATAGGGAATTTTATGCGTAAGACTATATGCTGTAAAATAATGTCAAAAACGTACCTGAACATTGAACTGGGAGCCCATATTTATAGAGCTAGGTGGTAGAGTCCTAGTATGACTGTGTAGTTCATTCCTGATAGAACTGTAGTTGATCTAGCACCCTTATCTTATCTCTAAGAGTCCTATCATAATTAGTTTTTAGGATAGTCCTTGATGGGGTATGACTCATCTTCCTGTTAGTCTCGACCCCTTAGGACAGAGGACAATACCCCGAGGACTTGTTGGTAAACGTCATGAGAATGGAATTTCCCGAGGACTGTAGAACACCTCGAGGACTATGGAATAGCTCGAAGACCTGCGAGCAAAGTCATGAGCCTTGATGCGAATCCTCGAGGACTTCCCTTCCCATTATTTGAAAAGAAGGCCGAGTGAAGTCCTCGAGGAAGGTTTGGGCCTGGAGGCCTCGAGGGAATCCTTGATGTTGGCTACATAAGGAGAGTCCTCGTTCCTGTTAGTCCTCGGGTCACCAAAATCCACCATATCAAATATAAATTAAGCAAACGTGCATTGAACGTTGGTTGCACCTAGTTTTATTTAAAAAAGTGTGATTGAAAATAAATAGAAGGATGAAAATAAAAATTTTAATTTTACCAAACAAACACTGGCTTATTATTCCAAGATTTGTCTTCCACCACCCCCCCCAAATACGCCGGGCTGCCGCCCAAAAGCCAGTGAATAAACTAAAGTTTTGGACTAGAATATGGCGATCCTTTCTCTCTCATTTTCTTTTTCTTTGTACAATAACAAACACCGTCTCGGTCTAAAATCTCTCCAGTCTCATCAAACTAGAGTTTTATTCGACACTCGGAAACGATCAGTTAGCTCAATCAGCTATAACCCATTGAGGAGGTTGAGTATAGTTATAACTTCAAGATATGATTTTCTTTGGTTTTGTTAAGGATTATATTCTGTGGTGTGTGTTGCAGAGACGTTGGTAAAAAGACGACGATGATTAAGAAACGACATGGGTTTGGTGTGGTCTGTTACTCTGTGCCACTCACGCCACGGAATCTTCAATGGGTCTCCACTATTTCTACTGCGTATGTTTACTATTAGATTCTAATTGTTTTATTCATATTTCTTGATTCTTACGGCGAAAAAGAAAGAAGCTATCTTGAATCCTTGTAATTGTTTGGTCGAGATTTGGGATTATCCAACTATTGATGGAATGAAGTATTTAATTTCAATTTCTATACTTAACATGCCAAGAAAAGATCATATTATAGCAATTAACAAAATTATTTTTCAGGGTTCTAATGCGGGCGAGGGGCACAGCCATTCACAAACCCTTTCTTGTACCTTTATTTGCCCTACAAGCTCCTGCAAGCATTGTCTCATGGATTAAGTAAACCTTTCAATTTATCATAGTCTGGGTTCTATATTATGAATTACTTGTACTTGGTAATTGTATTCAAGATCATTTTTTTTGTTGCAGAGGCGCGTATGGCATTTGGACTGCTTTCTTGGCACTTCTCGTACGTCTCTTCTTCTTCATTCCTGGTAGGATATTTCTATTGATCAAGTGCTTAATTCTGCTAATTTCTCCAAATTGTTTGTTTGTTTGTTTTGGCGGCTTGTAAGAAATTATACTCAATTAAGGTTCTTGAGTGGATAATCATTTTTTGTGTGTGAGCTTCCTCAGTTTAGAATATGGGGGTTCAGCAATGTTCAACACTGTCTTGAGAAATGTCTTACGACATACATGATTAGCGAACAAAGTGGAAATCTAATGGGTCAAGTTTCATAATCGAAACATAAACATAATGTTATGGTAAAGTGGATTAGATAGCATTGGACGGAGAAACAAAAAAAAGCTAAAATCTTGTCAATTATGGTGTCCAGTTGTACCTACTGAACTTACGCTCTGCAGTTAGCAGCTCCAAATTGAGGCTTTAGAATCAAAGTATTAAATAAACTACCCTTAGAAGTTTCCGAAGCCCTGATTATATGCGGTCGAGGCATCATGATTTTCTCTGCGTAATGTCGTCTCTTAAACTGTGTTGATAACTTTGTTTTTCCTTTTCTACTTATCTGATATCGACTTGTCTGTAATTTTAGGTGAACTGGAGTTTCCATTTATAACATTGCTACTGATAATTGTGTGTCCTTACCAAATTACGAGGCTGAGGTTAGTCGATCCATTATGGATAGTCAACTAAACTGTGTACTTATCTGAACTAATTTCATGTTTCATTTTCTTGTTCATGGCAGGGGAACACAGGAAGGTGTTATTTTTTCATTGCTAATAGCGGCTTATTTGGCTTTCCAGCATTTTTCAAGAGCCAGCAGTTTGAGGAAAGCATTCGATCAAGGTTCAATCATAGCCACCTTAGCCACAATCTGCATTGTTGTTGTCCCGTGCTTGCTGTTGATCTAACTAATGATTTTTAAGAACGATAGTTTTACTCATTTTCTGTAAATTATTGAACTCATTTGTACTGTATTTTAGATTAATGAATGTGAAGCAATTTACTTGAGACCGTTTGCTCGAGTATCAACTTGATCTAACTGTTGTACGGATAAATATTGTGCAACAGCTCATCTTATAATTTACTTTTTTAGTCCTACCATAATAAATGTTATAGCAGGATTTTGGGGGTGGCCTTGCCAATGTCCTCTGTCCAAGAATTTTAGCATATTTTGCTCAAAGTGGACACCATTTATTTGCTAATTTCATGAAGCGAAGTGCCACAATTTGCTGTACGAGTCAATACAAAATTCCATCAAATTGATGATATTGATAAACCAACAAGAATAAATAAAATCCACACTATCCAACATCCATAAATTTGATGCTATGCAAACCGAGGCAAGTGTTCAACATTATGTCTTTAAGCTGCAATGGTGCTAATGGAATCTTAGCAATCGTCTCAAAATATACAATGGTTCCTCCTTGTAGTAGAACTTGCAGTAGAAGCACTTCAAACTTTAAGGCAACTACAAACTTGAAACATAATTTTCTTTCTACTAAAACAATGATTTTTGATCCAAGAAAACAATGTTTTCGAAGTGTTTTGATGCAAAGCAATCAATGAAAATGATATGGAATGATTTTGAACCATCAAAGGTATCCAATTTATAGAACATGAGGGATTGTGGTTGGGGATACGTGCCCTAAACTTCAACATGTTTCATGAAGAGACACAACCCTTTAGGTTGCTCACGGCCGCCTACATGCTGCTCAAGCACCCATAGCAATAACACCATTGCTCACTACGCACTAGGCAGCCGCTTGAGCGGCAGTTCTATACGAGCAAAATTTAATTTTTCCTTGTATCTTGGTACGACAAATTTTCATTCACTCGAAATTGGTTTTGAGATTCCAAATATACTACAATCATCTACTCAACGAGTTAAACAAGTTAGTAATTACATATGTAAGCCAACATGACAAATTAATAAACCCAACAATCTCCCTTATAAATGTGTATAACTTTATGACGTCAAAACTCTTGCTATCATAATCAAAAGTATCTCCATCATACTACTATGTGCTAATTGAGAGAGATTCTAGAACTGTCACACACATTGACCTCGATGAAGTAACAGGGCTTTGTACTTCTTCTTTGCATTCAGGCCGAGTATTCATAAATTGCATTCAAGGACCTTAAACTTTTGGTTCAAAACCTATTGAATATTTGGTCGAAGTTGATACAAAATCAACTTTTATTGATTTTACTTAACCAAATTCCAACATATTCTTCTAGTGGGAATCAAATAATGGCTAGGGAATAAACAGCTTTGATGAATACGACGAGCTATTAATCATTGACATGTTAAACTCAAATACCATATATGTAGACCACTTTCATGGCACGTCTCTTCTTCTTTATTCCTGGTAGGATATTCTCTTGATCTACATAATCTAAGTACTTAGTTCAGCAAAGTTCTCCAATTTGTTCGTTGATCTAATTAGAATTTTCCTTTTGTGGTTTGCGAATTATTATACTCGAGTAAGGCTAGTGGACAGCCACATGTGCTAACTTGCTTCCTCAAACATAGGGCGTTCAGCAGAGTTCAAACCTTCTTAAGTTTGTCGAACTATTTCTTGCTCCCTCAAGTTTGAAGTTCTAAATCGTTTTATAATTGGTGAGCTTTTAAAGCAGTAAATAGCTCATTCTTGTTTAAGAAAATCAAAATTGTAGATGCAAGATTCAGAGATCAAAGATTGAAAACTGGGTTACTATATATCCAAAATTGTATTCTCGGTTATAAATGAGGAATACAATAATGCCATTGTGTTTGTACTATAATGATGATAATAGGTTTGTAATGATGCTGATTGACTTTCATCTTTAATAGGTGTGTGTATAACCTAATCTCTGAGGATCTGTCACATATAGGCTTCCTGTTACGTCTTCATGGTTTTGTATGAGATAATTTGAAACAAATTTTACTTTCAATTTTTGTTATTGTAATTGTATGGTTTCCGTCTTTTTCCATGGGATACATGGTATGCTGCATTATTATCTAAACTAACCTGAGTTTCTAATTCTATCTTTGAAGATATACAATTATCAAGGAGTTGCCAATGAAGACTACAATATAATGAACACACCTGCACAAATGGTAAACTGATAATCTAATTTGAACTATATGTTTGTCTTGAAGTATTCATTCGCTAATGCCAATTTCTGCATGTTTTTCAGAGATACAAGCAGCCACTCCTGCTCCCCTTCCCCAGAATGACACTGAAGATGACCTGATGAACCTCTGAACGAGGATGATGATGACGAATTAGATGATGTGGACCAAGGGGAGGATCTGAACACTACACACCTGATTTTAGCTCAATTTGACAAAATAACGACCAGAATAGAGTTTACCCTGGAGGTTGAGTGGTATTTTTTGTAGTTTTCTTGTTATGATGTCGATCCCATAATTTTGTTGCATTGATCTATGCCAATGAAATTTATTAAAATGGATGATCGATATATAGGTGACATGTACGAAAAGTAGGTGGAAATGCACTTTGAAGGACGACATCATGCACATAAACAATAAAGACATTTTGTTCAATAAGGTGTGATTTGTCTTGTGCTCGTTTCCTTTCCCTCATCGTACATTTTTGCTTACTCGTTAATCTGGGAATTGTGAATAATTATTTGGGTGCGATGTTCTTTCTCAGGCAATAGGAGAGTTCGATTTCTGATTTGGTTGGAGATAACTCAGATGATGGGCGTTCATTTCAGAGGACATCCAAAGATTGATAATATGCTTTTGAGATGTTTACTGGTTGTTCACATGTAAATAGAAAGCTTTATTTTCGCTAAACGATTTCTGCATTTTATGATTCTAGACATAATGCAACATTATACATTTTGTCTGTTCACACAAAATTTGATCTATTATCTCCTCGTATTTGATTCATTTTTATTTATTTATTTTTAGTTTCTTGGTGGTTCGATTTTAATTTGCAGGTAGATGATTTGAGAAAGGCCCCGAGTTTGTTGTACTATAGGCAGACATATTTCGATTTTATTTCAAGTTCGTTTTAAATTGCATAAAAAGATTTGCTTAATGTCCTTTCTCGGGACTCGGGGAGATTAGATTTTCGACCCTCGAGACCGCAACTGTTTCGTCAATCTATGTAAATTAAGCAGCACTTCAAGGGGCTCTTTTTATTAATTGTGGGCGATCAAATAGAGATAGTTATTGTGATAAACACACAAGGAAACACGAACGCTACTGATTTTAACATTAAAAACCAAAGAATAAAAACAACAGGACCATAGAATTGCCAAAAATCTCCACGAATGATAATCGATTATGGGATACAAGTGTTTATACATTATGAACACTGTTAGGTAATTGCCTCAAAAGTCAAAAGTTGGAAGACTCCTATTGCAAATAATAAAAGGTGTTTATTATATAGAAGACTTCTAATTAAAGTTGAGTGCAGAATCCTGTTAGAATTGGGTCTCCAATTTATAGTCGATTTTGGAGTCATTATTTGAGTTTAAATTAAACTCTTCTACTTGGTTATTTGGTCCTATAAATAATGGAAGTATTCCATTATTTTTGGACGTGACCTGTGAGAATAATTACAGAAGAAATAGTGGCAACTTCTGGAGAAAACTACTGGGTTTTTGACTTTATATTTGCACGTAATTGCATGGTGGAGAATCAAAGGTTGCTGGCTGTTGGAAGATAGAACAGTAGCTGCACAACAGGATTTGCACAATTATAAAGGTCAACAACGGAGGCTAGCAGAAGAGAAAAAGCAAGCAGCTTCTGGAAAAATAAAGAAGGGTTGTCTGCTGTAGAAGGCTACGTTTATTATTCTTGTGTAATATTTTGGGATTTGTTGGGTGAGTGAAATTCTATATGGTTGTAATAATTTTCATATAGTGAAAAAGTTTTGACGGTCCGTTTAAATTTGTGCGTTATATTCTTTATTGTTCTTGTTTGCTAAAATTCTCTGAACAACAAAAGATTCTGCGGGTAAGCAGAAAAGGGGAATTGGTGTAAATTTCCCAACAAACACAACATAGCAGCAACTACATGAAAGAACAGAGTTGTTGGCAAACATTACTAGGTACTAAATGAAAAATACATAAACGACATAATTTATTCTTGACATCAACTTACATGTAAATGTAGCTAAAAGTAACGAAACTCATTCTAAATGGTTGGAAGGAAGCTGATTGTTTGTGTAGTTAGACAGGAATGTGTATTGAGTTGGGCTGGAGAATCCTTCCATGAAAACCACGACTTTAACTAACAAAACAATCAATTCATACAATTATACAAACATTACCTTACTTATAGTAAAAAAAATACATTAAAATCACTTCACGCTATTAAATATCCAACTAAACTGCAACACGTGCATCGCACGTGCGTACACTAGTATAATAAAAAGAAGAAGATAACTTCGAATTTTGAAGAGCTTTCTCTCAACTCTCATTACGTGCAAGTCCAATTGCTCTTGCTCAAGGAGCATGGATCTTAGACCACATTACTCGTTAGTCATTGAATAATTTGGAATCTCAAATGATCCAAGTCAGTAACCTAATAAAGATTTGTTTTTACAACTTAAAGATAGAATTGGGCCAGAGGAGCAACCTGTATGCAAGTGTTGGTCCTGGTTGGCACATTCAAACTTCTCTAATAATAAGTTCGCCCATTAAATTTTAATGAACAATTCGATCTGTTTAAGATTAAGAAAAAAAAATGAGCATGCGAATTTCAATATTGGTTTTTTCAGTTCAAATAAAGATAGTCATTAAAAAAATGAGTTTTAATGCGTATATGAAGACAACACAAATCGTAAATTAGAGAAAATAATAATAATAATAATAGTCGCTGTTTGGTTCAGATAAAAGATTTGAATAAAATTTAAGTAAAAATCAATAATTAATTTTAACTATACATTTCGCCATATCCATAACTTTTTTACAACATAATTTATTATTTTTTATTATAATATACTAAATACCTGGTTTTTATCTAAACCAAAGTACATATGCATAGGATTTAAAAAAAAAAAGTCGAATAGAGATAATAGTCTAAGGGCTTCTGTGGACACTTGGACCGGATTTACTGAGCCCATAACTAATATAAGCCCATAACTAGTATAAGCCCAGCCCATAACTAGTATAAGCCCAGCCCAAGAATTACGAATCTATATATATTAGGCCAACAAAAACCCTATTGGCCGAATCCGCCGCAGGCCCGCAGGTTACAGCGAAATTTCGTCAAGGTAACCATTCCATTTTCTAGTCTTTTTCTTCTTCTTCTTCTGTAAATCTGAAAGCAATACATATGTTATCGTTTTTTTGTATCTATTCATATGGTATTTTGCGTTGGGCTTCGATTTTTAACAAGGTTAAAATTTCTTTTATAATGTTTTATTAAGAGATTTCGAATTTGATTTGCGTTTTTAAATTATGTTGCAGATCTAAGTACAACCATGGCTGACGAGGAAAATCAAAACGAAGTTAAGGAGGTTAAAGAGGAGGCAGGAGATGTAAGTTTCTGTTATAGTGGATTAAGATGTAGAATTGACTTATGAAATCACTCAAAATCATTACACAGAATCGTCAAAAATTGAACAAGGCGTTCTCACTATTCGTAATATATAGTTGACAAGCACGAATCTCATCATCCTCTATTCTCAAAATTAATTCTTGAATGCTTGTATCTTCATGGTCAAGTCCGTCCCTGAATATTAGATTCCATTTGGTATCCTTCTGCAAAATTGGACTATGTGAACAACCATATCAAATGATCCTAAATTTCCTTAAAATTGTGTGCCATTAGAGCGTTCAACAAATTCGCATGTTCAAGTCTTAATTTTGACATTGTTCATGTCCAAAATACGAACCACTTAGTAAAATTTTCGTCATTAGAATCCTTAGGTTTGGTCTCAAAGGAGTCACATAATTTCACATTTGCTAATCCATCAAAGATTCTTCATCACACAATTACAATAAGATTTTTTTTTTCCCATCTAATTTCACATTAATAGACTTGAGCAAATAATCTTTTGCACCCACCATCATAAAAACTCAACCAACAACAAACAAAATGATTTCATAGAAATACTAAATCCCAAATAGAAATCCAATCCAAAAACGAAACAAGTATTTTTCCAAGTATATGTGAAAACGTAAACGACTGTCAAATGCAAGATTAAGGTAAGTAATGAGAACAATATCAAACATCAATTAGTGATGCTATAGTTGGATCCACTATACCTAATGATATCGACACCTCTTCCTTCCTTCACGCCACAAAATGAAGTTTTCATATTGATCAAAAACTTACATCCCAAATTGGTGCCCAAAAAACCTAGCAAGCATAGGTTGTACCAACACCTCATAAACGGTGACACTCAAAACCGGTGAAAAAAAACTTCCAAGCAGGCCTTGAGCAACATCAGAACACGAAAATGGTGTGAATAAAATTATGTTAGTTGAGAAGTGGAAATAATAACATTTCTTTGATTCTTTTGGATATGAAAGTTTATTAGCGACTGTAATAAAGTGAAGTAATGAGAATTGGTTAGGATTAAAGACGTTTTGGACAGTTTGATTTGCTTGGTTTCTTGTCAGTTCAGTTATCTGAAGAAACTGATTTTTTCTAGAAAAGTTCTTGGAAGTAGTAGTAAAAAATACAGGGCTTTTTAAAATCCAATGGGTGCCAAAATGGTCAAACCCTCAATATCTAAAGCTGTGGTCACGGTTTCGAATCTGTCCTCCTTACCATTAAATGTTTTTTATCAAAAAAAATACAAGTCTTTATATCCCCATGGAATTTGAATATTCCAAAGACTCAGATCAATTGTTTGTTATTTCAGATTGTTCCTTTTGACCCTACAAAGAAGAAGAAAAAGAAGAAGGTCGTGATTCAAGATGCTGCAGAAGATGATACTGTTGATAATCTGGCTGAGAAAACTGAGAGCCTGTCTGGTAATTTAATTCAGCAATCTAACTTTCATGATTTCTTGTACATTTGTTCCCTTTCTACAACTTTATTACTGGCCCACAATGTGTTATGATGCTCTGTATGTTTATTGAATTCTGCAGTTTCTGATGGTCTTGAAACATCATTTGCCGGTCTGAAAAAGAAGAAGAAGAAACCGGTTAGTGGTTTTATCATCTTATCTGACATTTTGATTCTGATTGAAAACATTTTTTTCGAGTAATGATTTGTATTTGACATCATTTGAACTGTCTCAGGTTCATACAGATCTTTTAAGTGATGAGAAAGAGAACGTAGGGAATGATTTGGACGGTGAGATGTTTGTTTATAACTGCTTTTTATTTGAGGCTACATTGTTTTATGTCTTTTGTTAACTGGGTTGTGAAGCTTCTTTAACAATTAAGTTATGTTTTTCCAAATTCTAGATATTGGAGAAGATGAAGAGGGAGAGGGGATTGTTCTTCAACAATATCCATGGGATGGAAGTGATAGGGATTATGAGTACGAGGAAGTAAGTTTATTTTTCTAATTTGTATACTCAGGTCAAAGTGCTTTGTGAAAAATTCAGGCTTTGCTTATTGCAACCATTTTGCTGCAAATGTGTATTGTAACATGTTATGCTGGAGCTTAGTTTTCTGTTTGATCTTTTAGTTGAAATTGGCTTTGGAAATCTTTAGTTTTGATGGTCATTCTTAATCATACATGTAGTGTTTTAGGATGATGTTTACTTGGTGAAATTTTTTTTTTTTTTTGGTTACTTGCACATGCATATGGCTGTGAGTTTCTCTCATGATTTCTGACCTTGTAAGCTGCCGTTGAATTCCAGAATAAAAATGAAATGGTAGGACAAATATGTAATATTCAATATTGCTTTCATGCACTGCTGATTCTTATGCGAGTATGGTGTGCAACATATTGTAATGGAATGCTCTGAGGTTATCACTTCATATGATTTTGGCCAAATCGCATTTGAATAGGCTTACCTTCAATATTGCTGTATGGTGGGTGTAGGAAAAAGATTACTGTTGGATTGATTGGTTAGGTTTGTCAGGTATATTTTACTGGTTTGCGTCTTTTTTTTTTAATCAATATAAGTTTATTCTATGGGCTTATCATGATTATGCTGATGGTACTTTTTGTGATAAAAGCATGAACCAGAAATATCCTGAGACTTTGAAAGTCATGTTACCTGTACCAGTAGGATCTCTCCTGTAGCATTTGAAAGTCATTTATTCTCATTATTTTTATACATTCTTAAGTTGGTTTTTTGTGATCCAGAAAACCTATTTATGTTAAAGTGAATATATTGAAGTCATATTTTTGGTACTTCCATATCATCAGGATATAAAATTCGAGGACTTGAAGATAATGTAATGTATATGAATATAGCGGTTTGGACAAAATAGAGAAATTTTGCAGGGATTTGAGGTTGTAAAATTATGAGAAAATTAGAGATGGGCTCCCCAACTTTTTACGTGGTGTTGTGATAGTCTTTGACTTTTAATAGTGAGGTTTTGAGTCCCTAACCAATTCAAATATGTGAATTTGGGTCTCCACTTGATCGAATTGTCAATGTGGACTTTAAAATGAATGGTTATTTTCAGTTGAATTGGATACAATTGTTAAGTGGTTTGATGGATTTTCCCTCCCAACTTTAAGTCACATGCAATTTATCATCCACGTTGACGATTTTGCTGAAGACCAATATTCACATGTTTTTGTGGTTGTGGACGTAGATCCTCATTTTTGAAGGTTGGTTACTCATAACCTCAATTTGTGAAAGGTTGGAGAGCGCAGCCCTAATTTACCCTTACATTATACTTAAAAGAGTTGGAAGACAATATTTGTATCACATTTATTGGATCAACTATATTTGTGTATTGATTTTTGGATCATCAAAGGACACTCTTCATAAGATGAGTTGACTGTTTCAGGGAGATTCATATATATAAAACTAAATGAGATTATGCCCGTGTTTGGTGGGGGGTTAAAATCTGATTTTTAGTTGATTTTGATAAAAATTGTTGAAATGTGTGGTTGAAAAGTTGTGGGTCCAATGAAATATGTGGTCAAAATTAATTGTTGAGTTTGATTTGAATAAAAATCAAGATTTTAATCCTCATCAAACAGGGGCTATCTGTCAACAAGTGAATGTTATACCAACTGTGGTTGATTAAGGATGTTGTCTTAGATGGTCGAAGATGCCTTGCATAAATGTAAAGAGGCTCCCACTTAGTATTATTATGTAATTTCAGCAGCATAGAAGTAAGAATTTGTCCAAAATAACATATAACGCAAGTTCCAAATTCCAATTTACTTATTGATTGAAAGTGGCTTTGAATTCAATAGGATGGTGGAAAATGATTCATTTGGTTGACCCATTTTTTGGGAATAAGACTTAACGTGTTCTTGTTATTCTTTCCTTTAATAAATTTATAACATTTCTTGTTGACCCATCTTTTCTTTCTTTCTATTCTTCGTCAATATCCACTCTTCAGTACTTGTAATTCATTTTAAATATCCTTGTACAGCTTCTAGGAAGAGTGTTCAACATCCTCCGTGAAAATAATCCTGAGCTTGCTGGAGATCGGCGTAGGACTGTTATGAGGCCTCCTCAAGTTCTTCGTGAAGGCACGAAGAAAACTGTTTTTGTTAATTTCATGGATCTTTGCAAAACGTATGTCGTTTCCTCTTCGTTAAATTATTTCAGCTTTGCTAGTTGATAATTTTCTTTTTTGTTAATAATTTGGTCCATTAGAGCCCGATAGATTACTGCATTAAATCTGTGATGCCAAAAGGAGACAAAATTAGATTTAACCCTTGTTTGAATCCCATTCATAAAAAAACTTATTTTCAACTACACATTCTCTCAATAAATAATTTTACATGTGAACCAAAGCTTTTCCTTTTTAACCGCACATTCTCCCAAAAAAAAATCACTGTTACAAAATCTATTTTCCTAAAAAAGAGGGCTCAAACAAACCCTTAATTCTCCTATTTCATTTTTTGAGTGTTTTGGTTTGCACAAGAATTCGGGGCATGATTTTGGCGCATTGGAAGTTACATATTGATTTTCTTGATTTTCGAGTCCTTTGTTCCTTTTGTACCATGTGACGGTTTCTCTTTTTCCTATAGTTGAATAAAAAAAATTTTGCCGTTTGTGCCTGGTAAAATTTCTAATGCTGCTTTATATTTGTCCCTTCTGGACACCGAGTATCTTAGATTATAACTCTGTCAATGTGGTGTTCCTATGTATAGGATGCACAGGCAACCAGAGCATGTTATGACTTTCTTGCTGGCTGAGATGGGAACAAGTGGATCACTTGATGGTCAACAAAGATTGGTAGTCAAGGGGAGATTCGCACCCAAGAACTTTGAGGGAATCCTGCGGCGCTATATCAGTAAATTCTTATTCTTCGCTGTATTCTTGGTGAAGACAATTAGATTAAATGCATAAAATACACGTAATTGATAATACGAATATCAAATATATTTTGGAAAGGAGTATACTTGCTATATTTCTATTATCAGTTTCTTTTTCATGTAGAAGTTGATTTTTCTAAAAACTGACTTTGAAGATGTTATTTTACTTGGCACCGTTGCATGTGTAATTGTATTGTTATTTCTGTGTTCTATTTTGGGGATGTGCCACTGAGTTGTTTGAAGCAGCAGCACTTGTCTTTTGTTTTTGAGGAATTCTTGAACATGATTGTTTGCAAATAATGTCTCCAGATGATTATGTCATATGCAATGGTTGCAAAAGTCCGGATACTGTCCTTTCAAAGGAGAACCGTCTCTTTTTTCTCAGATGTGAGAAGGTAATGTCTCCTCTTCATGTTTGTTTTTGAGCACACTTTATGTTAAATCAGAGAACTCAAATAATGGCTTTGTTTAACTTCATTTTCTGGAAGACTCTTGAGAAGCTAATAGTAGTTGATTTTTCCTGAGGCCTGTGATGAATGAAATATTTGCCTACATTGTCTGACTGGATATATTGAAGGAGAATATCAAAATAATCTGAGGCCTCAGGTTAAATGCACAGTGCTTGAGCACTAATTATGTAGCTCTCTGTCTAGGGTGTGTTTGAGCCAACATTATTTTGGAAGAATGTATTCTGGAGTAGTAGATTGATGGAGAATGTGTAGTTGAAAAAGAAAGAAAAGTTATTGATTATTTTATTGAAAAATGTCGGTTGAAAATGAGTAGAAAAATGAGAATGAAAATTTTAATGTGGCTCAAATAGGGGCTAATAATTTTTTTTCACCGTTCATCCCAAACAGGCACTTTTCCTGTGATATTAGTTGAACCCTTATCAGTTGTTATCTAGAGAAACAATTCATTGTGTTTCTTGTCAAAGGCCTGTGATGATCAATGATTTGCCTACATTGTCTGATTTCATTACTTGAAGAGTTTTAGAATTTTCTGAGGCCAAAGGTTAAATGGATAACTCTGGATCTTTATACAGTGTCTTTGACAGCCATTGTTGCTTTGATCCTATGATAGGACATATAAACTTGCCTTTCAATGTCCAATCCTAGTTGTGTTCCGAATTTGAAATTTTCATGCTTCGTGAGAAGTGCAAACCTTTTTATACTTTAAGGTTGAAATGTTTGTGGGCCTTTTTGGGGTCCACGGTCTTGTAGTTGTGCATTATTTCGCCCCAAGGGTTACTTATTGTATTTCGTTTAACTTTTCTTGTAGTGCGGTTCTGGGCGATCTGTTGCTCCAATTAAGGCTGGATTTCGTGCTCAAGTTGGTCGTCGTAAAGCTGGAACATGATAACAATCTGCTGTTCTTTGGAACTTTTTGTTTAATACCTGTTAAGTGCCTGATATCTTTTACAGTATCTCTTAAGTAGATAAATTTTACTACTTTCTCCCCATGCTCAAAAAGTTATGAAGAGAGTCAGATGTACTGTTTTCATTGTTATTAATTACTGAGAACGTCAAAACCTTTTTATTTTTGAAATTGGCTAAGAGACAACCTTTTGGCATCGTAAGGAATAAATATGGATCAGTGATGATATTACACTACTGAGAATTGATTCCACATGCCATCTCAGTAGAATGTTTAACAATGCTAAGAATCTATGCAATATTTGTCTAGAAAAAAAATCTTGATAATTTAAAACCAGGTTATTCCAATGGTTCTAGATGATGTTTTAGCATAATTTTGTTACATTCTTAAATTAAATCATGATCTTAATCTCTTGCATGTGACTAATTTATGTTGTTGAACGAGTCACTTTGTTCCTGTTGGTGTTTTTTTTAAGGAAAAACATTGTTTTAAATAGTGAATTTTTTAAGAATGCGGTTGAAAAGTAGGGAAAAGTTTTGGGTTATCATGTAAAATATCTTATTGTGTAAATATATGATTGAAAATAGTTTTCTAAAAATTGATACGGGAAGGTCAAGCTTCGGGGAAGGTGATGCTTAACTGGGTTGGACAAAAACTATCTCAAATCGCTCAAATAGACTAATCCAAACCACATTGATTGATTTGGGTGGGGTTTTTAAGTTCAATTGGGCTGGAGTTGGGTTGGAAAATCAAATCTGAGATTGTATTGGGTTTTGGGTTATCAATTAAATTCTAATTCAACCTAATGAATTAAAAAAATTAATACTTAAAATGGAAAAATATAAATAGACAAAATAGTGGAGGCAAGGAACGTTCACTTTTTACTTTTTAACATAGGCCGTTTAGTATGAATATAATGTACAAATGCAAAATAATTTGACAACAAATTAAAAATGGAGGACGTGATAATGAAATGAATAAATTCTAAAAAAAAAATTATAAAAAGAAAACGCTTGGTAGTTTCAAACATATTTATAAATTAATTTTCAAAAAATAAAAAAAAAATCAGTCTGTAGGTTAAAAATAATAGAGATTTCCTAGTGTAGGGATGTCGACGGTGCTGTTACGGGACAAATCGATCATTCTCATCCTATCCTGCGTATTTTTGTTACTTTACTCCATTTCCATACCCGGTTAAAGTAGGGCAAGATCAAATTGGGTTGGGGCAGGTCCCCTGCTCATTTATCGCTGCATTTATTTATTTTATTTTTTTGTTTTTATTTCTTTTATATCTTTAGTTGGTAAATATTATTACTTCTTTATAGATTCGTTATAAACAACCTATGTTATCCATCAAAATAATGATACATCTATTCTTTTTGTTTGATAAAAAATTTAAGTTTGAAATAAATTATAAACAGGGCGGGCAGCGAGGCGAAGACTATGTTTCTCATATTCGCCACGTACTCACTTCGGGTAATGACCCTCGCTTTGTTTACCCGGTTAGACAAGTAATCCCCGTCCCAAATGGATGAGGCCCCACTGCATCGAGTTGAACTTATTTTTTTGTCATCTCTATTCAAGTGGTTTTAAACTTTAAGTCCCTGTTTGGTTCACCTTATTTCCCAAGTTGTAGAAAAATTTTACCCGTTAGCAACAGTGACGACTAACAGTTTGCAGGTCATTTACTCCACTTTCACCCGTTACCAACAGTAATTGCTCATTCTATCCTCTCCTTTTTCCTCACCTACCCTTCTCACCTACCATCTTCCTCCACACAACGACGGTGCAGAAGAAAAAAGGGGCCAAGCTTCTCAAGTGCAGAATTAATACACTACAACGCAGGGACAAGCTTCTCAAGTGCACCAGGTATTTCTGAAAAATTACTCAGCACCAGGTATTTCTGAAAAATTACTCAGCAATCAATAGGGAAGGAGGGCAAACTCGAAAATTATGGATGGCATTTCAAAGATCTGACATTTGCTGGTACCTTCCACTGTTCATGAGTTGACAGATTTAATACATTCTTGTGAAATAATGCCTACCAAACGGGGGCTAAAAATTGTTCAAAGTCAACAAAAATAATTGGATCCAAAACTGACCAATCCAACTCAAATCAACTCAAACTTGATCGATTCGAGTTGGGTTTGATTTAAACTAATATTGGATTGAATTAGTTTGATTTTAGATCAAACCGATCATATTGGGCTAGGTTCCCAACCCATGTCTAGCCCTAGGCCTAAGTGTGAAATTATTTTTTTACTAATTTGTTAAAAACAACATATGTTCTCTTATAAATCTATTATTTTTATTTGATAAAAAACTCAAATTTAAAATCAACTTTAAATAGGGCGTGTGGCGGAGACTATGTTTCCTATACCCGTTTCGGGTAATGATCCTCGCCCTATCTTCACCTCATTTACACATAATTGGATCCAACTTGAATTTGGCTTGGGTTGTGTTTGATTTAAACCAATAATTGGATTGGATTTGTTTGATTTTAGATCAAACCGATCATATTGGGTTAGGTTACTAACTCATGCCTTGCCCTAGGCCTAAGCGTGAAAATGCATTTTCTTATTTAATATTATTTTAAATTTTTAATCAATTTAAAAATTATTTAATAATACATACAAATTATAGTACCAAATGCAGTTTGTTTATTTTTATTTTCTCATTTATTTATTTTAGTGACAAATAACATGCCATAAAAATAATTTATCGATTCAATTATTATAACAAATCAGTGGTTGAAAATGAATTTTGAAAGAATATGCGTCAAACATGTGCTTAATCAATTTAAAAATTATTTAATAATTAGAATAATACCCACCAAACATCTAAAATAGAATTATAGGATTTTTATACATTTTTTCAATGTTTCGAACAAAAAATAAGTTTTAAAATCATTATTACATGACAAAGATAGCATGGGACTTAAATTTTTGTCCACAATTTTTTAATGTAAAGGGAATATGAACAATAATGTAAGAGCATAAATGTACATTTAGCATTATTGATATAATAATGTGCGCCTTAAGCATCTAAGGACAGCCCAAGCCCTACAACGTGCCCAATGCATTGGCGGCGTTAGGGTGCTGCCTATGCGCGTTAGTTTTAACACCCGTTGAAAATGAGTACGTAAAAAAAAAAAAAAAATTTTAAAAAAATGGGAGACAAACAAGGAAGTATATTGTAGGTTTTTCTTGATTTAAATCCTAAATTTGTTTGTTTTAGGAAATTAAACGAAGTATTCTTTTTTTATTAAAAAAACATAGAAAAAAATTATTTCATTGTATCTTTTTCTTCCATCGACCTCATGTTATTTTTTTTAGGGTGCGTGTGATTGCAAACATGGAATTTGAATGGAAAGAAAATAAATTCAATTATCTAGAAATTATTTGTATGAAAATTATTAAATGTGTTCGATTGATTTAATTTTTCAATATAGAAAATATTATACTTCTTAATTTTTTATTGGTGGATAGATGAGAGAGAGATAGAGAGAGAGAGATGGGGTGAATTACCTATAAAATAAAAATCACATCTGCCTAAAGAAATTTTTTTCCTTATTTTCAAGGAAAATATAGTCACGTAACCAAAAAAGAAAATTATTTGGAAAAAATTGTCAATGAAGTAGTACAAAAAAAAGAAATTACGTGAAAAACACATTTTTTATGAAAAATATTAACAATCAAACGTACACTTAATGTTGTAGACTTTCTTCTTAAATAAATATTGGTCAATTTTTCCAAGACAGACCAATCTTTATTTATTTTTGAAAAACCACACGTAGCTATAAGCTATTGTTAAGAACTTGTCTAAGAATTATATATATATATATATATATANCTTTCAAATTTGACGAATTCAGACAAGAATCCGCATAGAAGCCATTTTGCCTTCTTGAGAAAAATAGAAATTCTTTATGTTTGGTCCAATTGATTGAAAAGGATGTTTAAAATAATTGACAAAATTTATTGTTATGTTTCCTATAACTTTTTATAAATTGATAAATAATTTTTTTATCACTATCGTTAACTTATTGCAATTACAAGATATGTGAAACAACTATTGGTTAACGTGCTCAATTACTTGAAGATTTGAGTCTCAAGGATCCAACTTTGACAAGTGACAATATATTATTCAGGGATTATTTAAGAGTATCCGTGCCTCGTAACGTTATTCATAATAATTAGAATTACACAAAATGGTATATTCCACAAAAGATTATTCTACGCGTACCGAACTGTTTACATAATCTTTTATCGAATTGACAAGTGGCGCCTCAAATAATGAAGAAAAAGCAGAAAAGAAAAATAGATGACTTGTATCTTGAACACATTGTATCTTCTTAACATTGACCTGGCTTGCTTGCAGGTAATCGACTCATTTCTTTTAATAAATCTTCGGATCGACTATCGAATGTTGTTTACTTTACACAATGGCATCAACCCAGGTAAATAAACTAAAGTACCTTCATAAGCATAATCCTTTCAACAACACAGTTTCAATCACATTTTTAGCTTTGTTTCCATCTAGGTTAAGTCGAACAAGATGAAGCGGTTGGAATCGAAAAAATCACATTCTTGGTAGTGGGATAGCCACATTAGTCCCAAAAACTCCCAAGTGGCTACAAGAAAATCTCCAAGGTATTAAATTTGATTTTGCTTTATTTGTAGAATGGTTTCTCGCAAATGGCAAAATAAAAAAAAATTACGTAAGCCGATCCCAAGTTTATTGAGAATAGTAACGGAAAATGGTTGATAACGTAGTACAGAGTATAGATGATAGAACTCTATACTTTTAATCCTCCTTTAAATAAACGAGCATTGTCTGGAAGAAACGATGTGTCAATCGACCTAGGTTATCAATTTCGATTATTGTCTTGATTTGAAACAGATTTCCAAACTCTCCGTTAAGAAGTCGGATGATGAAAACTCTGAAGTTCTTGCTAAATTAGTAGCACGCGAAGAAAAATAAGGGCTGCGAAGGAAAAGATACTACTCTCTCAAGAAGAAATAAGCCATCCTACAGTTGAGATTCAAGAGTATAAATCTCTAGAAGATTCAAATGATATTCAGCAGAAAGATGCAGAAGTTTTAGAATCCGACGTTGAAGAGAGCTTCAGAAAAGTGCAGAAGGATCAGAAGCGGAAGATTTGAATTTGGTGAACAAAATTCAGAAGCTCGAGGAAGAATTGAGAATTAAACAAACGAAGCTTCGTGAATTGGAAAAGGAAGTTGCCAGTGCAATGCAGCAACATACAAGGAAAGAATCCCGTATTCAAAATTTGCAAGATCAGCTTAAATCAGCCTCAAAAGGAGGTTTCGGTATGGAAAACCAAAGTCGAGAGAGAGAAAAAAGAGGCTTCTAAGCTGCAAGACCGGATTGCTAGGTATAAATCCAATCTTGCTGACCGTGATCAAGAAATCAGAGGATTGAATGAAGCAGTATCTAACGCTAATAAGAGCTTATTTGAAGAAAACGAGCAACTTCAAGCAGAAATAACTAGAACTGTGAAGGAGCGAACTTATTTCGAGGACAATCTAAAAGAATTGGATTTACGCTGCCAAACCTTAGCGGAGGACGTCAGACGAGTCAAGGCTGGAAAAGAAGAGATTGAAAATAAGCTTGGAGCTCAAGTTGAGCAGTTGAAGGCAGAGATAACTGAGAGAAATGATCGCATAGAAGAATTAAGCAAAAGCCTCGATGCGCTGAAAATGAAATACGAGATACTGATGGCTGAAAAAGANAAATTACGAATGAAATGTCATTAGTCGTATTTTATGTAGTGTTGTTGAAAATATTAAAAAATTTAATTATGGTACGAAACCGAACGGAACCGAACCGAACCCGAACGGTTCCATAATTATATTTGGACTCGATGAGTCCATTTATTAAATACCCGAAAGTTTTGGGTCGGTTCGGGTCTCTTCAGAATCGAACCGAACCGAACCGAACCGACCCACGGACAGCTCTATGTTTCGGTATGGAAAACCAAAGTCGAGAGAGAGAAAAAAGAGGCTTCTAAGCTGCGAGACTGGATTGCTAGGTATAAATCCAATCTTGCTGACCGTGATCAAGAAATCAGAGGATTGAATGAAGCAGTATCAAACGCTAATAAGAGCTTATTTGAAGAAAACGAGCAACTTCAAGCAGAAATAACTAGAACTGTGAAGGAGCGAACTTATTTAGAGGACAATCTAAAAGAATTGGATTTACGCTGCCAAACCTTAGCGGAGGACGTCAGACGAGTCAAGGCTGGAAAAGAAGAGATTGAAAATAAGCTTGGAGCTAAAGTTGAGCAGTTGAAGGCAGAGATAACTGAGAGAAATGATCGCATAGAAGAATTAAGCAAAAGCCTCGATGCGCTGAAACTGAAATACGAGATACTGATGGCTGAAAAAGACAATCTTAATGCTAAGATTGCTGCACTTTCTGCAGAGATAAATTCTAAAGAAGACCGAGTGGATAAAATGAATGTTGAATTGATCGCTGCACACGAACTGGCAGAGGATCTTCGTTCGCGAGTTAAAGAATTGGAAATAGAGGTGAAGAAAAGGCGAGAAATTATTATGGAAGGGCGGAAGAGAAACGAGAAGCAATTAGGCAGCTTTGCTTCTCACTCGAGCACTACCGGCGTGGGTATCATCAACTTCGCCAGGCTGTTATATGGCACAAGCGATTACCTGTGATGGTATCCTAAGTTGCTAAATCACTAAAAGACCGTGTTTCTTTGGTTTCAATGCATTCACGTTTGAGTCTCCTCCTTTTTTGAACTCGACTTCAAGAGCTTGTGTAGAATTCTCTTCCTTCTGGTCTTACAGTTTTTTAACTCTGTAAGTGTACAGTTGTTATGCAGTGACTTAGCTTGGTGTAAGTACGTAAATGTTGTTATATAGGTAGTACTTAGATGGATATGTATTAGAGTCCATTTGGTCGGACTTCTGCTTCTTGTAGAAGAACTTAAGTCAATTTGGTCGTTTAGCCAACGTTAGGCTACGATCAAATAAATTACTTTTTATCCACATATTTCTTGGAATTTAAAAGTACTACCTACTTATTCAAGACTCATTTTTATTTATATATAAAATTAAAATCGATAATAAACAAACCTCCCTTGTTTAACCTGCCTTNCTCCCTTGTTTAACCTGCCTTTTGCATTGAAAGAATCTGAAATCAACCAATAGCATCATCGATCTTAGTTTGTTAATTTTCAGCCTTTTAGATCAAACAGGGAAAAGAGGAAAGGATAATAGCTTCGCTTATGATCTTATCGTATAAACCTTCCATTTCTATAAACTTATGGTAGCGCCAAGTCAAGTCGCGTCATTGTTCAAGTGAAAGATACGAAAGTTATTGAAAGGTATATTGTTCACTGGAAGATGGTGTCAATCTTGATTGTAGATTTGTAGTGGTTTGTTAAAAGGTCTTGTATCAACAATTATTCTAATTGTACATATATATTTTTTTGTACAGATGGATTTACAGGTGTTGAAATGGTAGAATTTAATACCAATTTAACTTTATAAATGTAGTCTATGGCCCTGCCTGGGCGTGATTCTTGAGCCGGTAGAATTGATTTTTGAGCCGTTTGCTCTGACACACAAGACACAAATTTCAGCAGCCATTTTTATTTTTTTACAGTTGAAATTTTTTTGACCGTTGCTTCTTTCAACGGTAAAAAAAATGGCCCTTTCCCCAATGATCGTGGGGTGGGGATAGTAGTGGCTTCTGACTAGCAGTGGATTGGGCGAGAACTAGGAAAGAAGACCCTTTTTTTTTTGTCAATTATATTTAATTGTGGTGTATTTATAATTTTGAAAAGATTTAGGGCTCTTGTTACAAATTTTCCTTTATTTTCTATTTGGTTGCTTTCTTTTTCGTGTGTTTATTTAAAGACGGGACAAATTCGTCATTTTCACTTGGTTTTAATGGCCAAAATGGACGAAATAGTGAGTTTAGCTATATTTTTGAAAGGTGAAGATCTGAGATGCTGAAGAAAAGGTTGATGGTAAAATAGCAGTAGTTTGTTATTATTGTACAAATTTCCCTAAAATAAAATTACACGCCAAACATTCCCCCAAAATTTAATTGATCCTTAAATTTAGAGAAATTTGCTAGATGTAAGAAAGAAGTCCATAGAATTTCTTAAGAATACACACATTTGTGCGTCCCATGCCATTTTTTAAAAATACGTGGTGGGCCCGCACAATCGTGTGTATTCTGGTGCAATTCTTACTGTACATAATTTTTTAATAACACATTTCATTGAATCCATAATTTTTTAATAACAAATTTCATCAATTTTTATTAAATTTACTAAAAACATGATTTTAATCAAACGAGGAGGGATTAAACTATCATTTTTTTTTTCACATTGTGCCAAAGTGCAGTGATCCATGATTTCTTGAACTGTAGCGGTCCACTTAATTGCACCATATAGTACGTCAAAATCTTACCTACCACTCCCAACTGAATAATAAAATGGGGGAAAAATGAAAATTATTGACGACGAAGCTTGCAAATGTAAACATATTATATTAATAATATTACGGAATAAGTTTCATGTTGAATTATTATAAATAATTAATTAATATATAATAACTTGAATTATTCCACTTAACTAAATGACATTTTAAAATGAAACTCAAATGTTAATATGGTATCAAAATTCATAAATTTGTCGACTATCCCAAATCTTACTTTTTATGATTCTATATGTAGAAGTCATTACTGCCCCGGCCCGCGCCCCCATTTATTATTATTTTTTTTTCAAAAATTTTCAATTAACTAATTTTTTTTTTTTTCTTCATGGGCGCGAGTTTAAGGCGGGGGTGCCATCCTCGTCGGGGCGAGTTTTTTTCTCCCCATTCAGGGCGGATTCTTTTGTCATCACTATTATTATATTACTCGATTTATGTTTTTGAAGGTGATTTGACGAGATAATAGCTAGGTGCTCTGAAATTTACTCTCCACAATTATGAACTACATCCATCATATACATATTTTTTTTCCTAATCAAGATGAAATAGCATAAATTGATGGTTGTCCCACAATTAAATAATACGACAACCTAAGAAAAAAAAAATCTATTCGACATAATAAGATAAATTGGATAGTATCGAGGCGAGACATTAATTATTTGTTTGAGAAT